AAGCCCAAGAGCTGGAGGTTGCTGTGAGCTGTGACACTATGGCACTCTACTGAGGGCGACAAAGTGAGACTCTGTATCTCAAAAAAAAAAAATCTACAGTGCTACTTACCACATATTAAGAGACACAGATAAAACCAGCTGCACTGTTAACAGGATATATTTCTTCCAAGCACATACTACAAGATAAAGTGTCATAACTTTTTTTTTTTTGAAACAAAGTCTCATTCTTGCCATGGGTAGAGCGCCATGGTGTCATAGTAGGACCATAACCTCAAACTCGTAGGCTTTAGCAATCCTTCTGCCTCAGCCTCCTGAGTAGCTAGGACTACAGATGCCCACCATGGCACCCGGCTAGTTTTCTATTTTTAGTAGAGGTGGGTCTCACTCTTGTTAAGGCTGGTCTCAAACTCCTGAGCTTAAGCAATCCACCTGTTTTGGCCTCCCAGAATCCTAGGATTACAGGTGTGAACCACGGCACCTGGCCTGAGTGATTATCTTTTTAATTTACTGAGAAACTTTGTTCTCCAAAATCACAGGCTGACAAAGATTGCTGTATGAAATTATATCTAAAAATGAAGTCTTACAGTCTTGCTTAAAGGTGCTAAGTCACTTTGACATGCCTCGATTTCCAACCCAGGTATAGAGCTTCAAAGCAAGGGATTCTGAACACAATATTCCACATTTATCTTAACTTTGTATTTCCAAGGAAACTAATTCTCTGAGTCCACTTTTGCGATCCTGAGCTGATGTTCATCCTCTTTTCCCTAGGTTCCTTTGAACCTATCGAACTCATTTAAATTTCACCTATGATCATCTTTTCCTTTGGTGAGACACCTTCCTGTTCCTCTGGTGGGCAATCTCCCTTGTTGCAATGAGCCAATTTGTTGGATCATAGTTTTGCCCCTGGTGGGCTTAGGCTGATTAGACTAAAGTAATCTTTTTTTTTTTTTTTTTTTGAGACAGAGCCTCAAGCTGTCCCCCTGAGTAGAGTGCCGTGGCATTACAGCTCACAGCAACCTCCAACTCCTGGGCTCAAGCGAGTCTCCTGCCTCCGCCCCCCAAGTAGCTGGGACCACAGGCGCCCGCCACAACGCCTGGCTATTTTTTGGTTGCAGCCGTCATTGTTGTTTGGCGGGTCCGGGCTGGGGATTCGAACCCGCCACCTTAGGTGTACGTGGCTGGCGCCTTAGCCGGTTGAGCTATAGGCGCCGAGCCAGACTAAAGTAATCTTAAACCTTGTTTGGGCCTTTATACTTATTTGTGATAAAAAGTCCCATTAATCTGCTTTTTCCTACTCAAAATGTATTTTTAAGTTACAAGAAATAATACGTCATAAAAATGGCTAGTAAGCACATGAAAAGATGTTTAACATTATAAGTTATTTAGAGGAAAATACAATCAAAGTGACATTCAGATGCCACTTCTTACCCACTAAGATAGCTGTAGTCAAAAACAGATAATAAATTTAAGCTAGGTGTGGTGGCAACACGCCTGGACAGGAGGCTGATGTAGGAGGGTCACTTGAGAATAGGAATTTGATCAGCCTGGATGACATAATCAGACCCTGTTTCTTAAAAAAGTGCACACAGGGGATGGGGGAGGATGGGTGGGGGGAGAGTAGTTGGTGGGACCACACCTACAGTGCATCTTACAAGGGTACATGTGAAATTTACTGGGTGTAGAATATAAATGTCTTAACACAATAACTAAGAAAATGCCATGAAGGCTATGTTGACCAGTTTGATGAAAGCATTTCAGACTGTGTGTAAAACTAGCACATTGTACCCCACGATTGCATTAATGTACACAGCTATGATTTAATAATTAAAAAAAGTACACACATAGCCAGGCGTTGTGGTGGGCACCTATAGTCCCAGCTCCAAGGGAGGCTGAGGCAAGAGAATTCCTTGAGCCCATGCCACGGCACTCTACCCAGGGTGACATAGTGAGACTCTGTCTCAAAAAAAAAAAAAAAAGTACAAACAGATTCAGTGGTGATGTGGAGAAAATGAATCGTCATACATTGCTGGTGGGACTGTAAAATGAAGCAACCATTTTGGAAGACATCTATCCATTTCTTAAAAGGTTAACACACTGAGTATATATGACTCAGCAATTCCACTCTTAGGTATATACGCAAGGCAAGTGAAAACATGTCCACACAACAACATGCACATAGCATTATTGTTCGTAAGTAGAAGATGGAAACAAATGCCCAACTGATGAATGGATAAATAAAATGTGGTATATTCATACAAGGGGATATTATTTGGCAATAAAAATGAATGAAATATGGATATAGGCTACGAAATGGAAGAATCCTGAAAACATTATGCTAAGTGAAAGAAATCCGTCACAAAGGACCCTGTAGTGTACGATTCCTTCATAAGAAAAGTCCTTGACTGAGGTTAGGGCTTTGGTGGGAATTGGGGGAAAATGGGGAGTGACTGCTAAGAGGTACAGGGCTTCTTTGGGGGATGATGAACATGTGAAATCGACTGTGGTGATGGCTGCACAACTCTGAATATTCTAAAAACCAGTGTATACTTTAAACTGGTGGCCTGTATGATATGTGAAATATATCTATAAAGCTGTCATTTAGAAAAACACAAGAACTACACAGGAAGTACAGTCCTGCTCTGGAAGAGCTCTGTTCTGTTGTGGCATAACATTTTGATATAAAAGAGGTAACTGCTAAGGTACAAGCAGATATGAAGAGTTAGGTGATCACAGAGAAGGGTGCCTGAGCCCAAATGGGAGAATTTAGAGATGTTTTCCCTCTGGTGGGAAATGAATCTTAAAGGAAAACCATAAATTATCCAAGTGAAATGACATGAAACAGGCCATCAACGGCACAGTTTCATGCTTACTACAGAAATTAAGAGAACTACTAGGAGCAACCTGGTATTTCCTTTTTTTCTTTTTTTTTTTTTAGAGACAGAGTCTCACTATTGCCCTCGGTAGAGTGCCCTGGTGTCACAGCTCACAGCAACCTCCAACTCCTGGGTTTAGGCAGTTCTCTTGCCTCAGCCTCCAGAGTAGCTGGGACTACAGGCACCCGCCACAATGCCCGACTGTTTTTTGTGGCAGTTTGGTCGACGCTGGGTTCAAACCGTCACTCTTGGTATATGGGGCTGGCGCCCTACCCACTGAGCCACAGGTGCCGCCCTGCAATCTGGTGTTTCTAATTTGCAGAGTACAAGGAGGAAAGTTCTGGGCTCATCATCGAGTAGCTTGGATAATAAACAATAAAAAAATCATATGTGAACTATTCATTACAGCTAAATATTCAACAGTGAGTCTGTAAGAAGTTTCCACTGAGGGGATGACAGCTGAACTGGGTCTTGAAGCATTATAAAGACTTCACCAGTGAAACAAGGAAGGACAAACAGAGAAGCAAATGATGATAGAGCTTGTACTCAGGGTGCAGAGAGTAATTCTCTCCTATAGAAAGTGTAGCATCAGGCTTGGTGCCTGTGGCTCAAGTGGTTAAGGCGCCAGCCACAAACAACTGAGCTGGTAGGTTTGAATCCAGCCTGGCCCTGCCAAAAAACAATGAAGGCTACAACCAAAAAATAGCGGGACATTGTGGCAGGCGCCTGTGGTCCCAGCTACTTGGGAGGCGGAGGCAGGAAATCGCTTGAGTCCAGGAGTTGGAGGTTGCTGTGAGCTGTGATGTCATAGCACTCTACCCAGGGCAACAGCTTGAGGCTCTGTCTCAAAAAAAAAAAAAAGTGTAGTATCAGGACTTGAGACTGGAAGGTGAATAGTAGATTGGAGATGATGGAGATTCTTCTATAATAGAAAACATAAAACCTATGCCCATGTGGTTTGTATCCATTATCCCATTTAATCCTCACAAGGCCACCCTACAGGTGAGGGAGCAAAGCAAAGCCTAAGGTTACACTGATAAATGGAGCAACTAGGGTTTGCACCCACCCAGTTAGGGCACAAGGTTAAGCTTCATCTACTGGTCTTACTTCTCTGCCTAACACACCAAGCCCTTTGGGCTTAATCTCACCAGAATGGGAGCTAATTCAAAGATTTTTTAAAGCAGCTGTCACTTCTTTCTTTTCCGTCTTCCAATGGCCTCATTTTTCTCCTTCAGGAGAGCAGAGGGAAAATGAACAGGAGGGGTTGGTTTCAAAAAGTTCATCTGATCATTCTCCCTCTCCCAATGGCCTGAAATTCACATGAATCTGTCCCAAAGTCATCTCTTGCATTTAGGGGTTTAACCACTATCATCACCACGTCAATTTGCATAAGATTTTATTCTTGAAACTCCGAGGCCTTGTTTTGTATTTTCAACCTTCTTATATTGGTGAAACAAGTAGTAAGTCTCACTATGTCACCCTCGGTAGAGTACTGTAGCGTCACAGCTCACAGCAACCTCAAACTCCTGGGCTTAAGGGATTCTCTTGCTTCAGCCTCCCGAGTAGCTGGGACTACATGCACCTGCCACAATGCCCGGCTATTTTTTTTCTTTTGCAGTTGTTCAGCTGGCTAGGGCCAGGTTCAAACCTGCCACTCTCAGGGTATGCGGCTGGAGCCCTAACCACTGTGCTACGGGCGCCGAGCCGTAACATCTTTGTTTATAGATAGGAAATAAGTTCACAGAGATTAAATGATTGGGCAAATCACTTCTCTGGCAGCTGTTTATTTATCTGTAACAAGAGGCAGCTGAAGTACACATTCCTTTGCAACACAAAATATTTTTCATTCTGGGTCCGCTCAGATTTAGACAGCAATTTGGAAGCAAAAAACAGTTTCATAACTCAGGTGTGTATCTACTAGATCATGATGGAAAGGTCCCGCTCTCCCTAGGCAAGTGGGAGGGTTCCAGGTCACTCCTTCTCGGTCTCGCTGTGCGCAAGGGCAAGACGGGAGCGAATCCCCTGAAGCCGCGGAACGAACTTTGCGGGCGGTGGGGACGAGTTTTTAGAACGAACCCAAGCAAGGAAGTGTGCTACGCCATTAAAGGCCCCCACGCCCGGCTGCTACCGGGACGGGGCCGGGGTCATTCGCGGGTAGGTCAGCTCGCGAAGGCCTAATTGTTTGGGTCTCGGGTGACAGGCACAGGCAGCCGCGGGGTCCTGACTTGCTTGTTCCGGCGTCAGATTAGGCGGGCTGACCTTGGCTGCTGCTGTTTGCAGCTTCCTTCCCGTCCAGGGTCGGAGCCAATGGCTGTTTGGGCCGCCGCCAGCCTGCGCAGGGCAGCTGCCCGATGCCTGGGGGCACAATGCCCCAGGATCCAGACGGCTCCTCGGTGCTCCCAGGCGCCCTCCCAGCCCAACCCCCCGAGTTGGGGTCCGGTTCCAAGCAGGACGCTGCACCTCACCGTAGTGGCTCCAGCCGGGCACAACAAGTGGTCCAAAGTTAGGCACATCAAGGGACCCAAAGACGCCGAAAGGAGTCGCATCTTCTCCAAACTCTGTTTGAACATCCGCCTCGCGGTTAAAGGTGAGAACCTGACACGTCACCCACCGACGGCTGCCGCTGCCTTCACCTTGCCCAAGGCCTTGCTCGCCTCCTGGAACTGGGCCATTTTCTTTCCTTCCCCATTTCTCACCGTTGCCCACCTCATAACCCTCAGAACACCACACAGGCTTTCCAGACGTTGGGCGTCTCCCGGCTTGTCAGAGAGGGAGCTGCTCCGGAGAAGATAAGGCGGTAAAAGTGATTTCTTCCTAGTTTGATAGTTACTTAATAGAAACAAATCCACAGAGCCAAGTCAGACGCGTGTCTCTCCTGAAGAGACAAACTAATCCTCTGAAGTTGCCTCTAATAACTTAAAGGCTGTGGCAGGGGCATTGAATAAAGCTATTACTTGCCTAGACCTCGGTTTGACTCATTAGAGTTTCCTGAGACACATGTCTTTGATAAATGGGTTTGCAACCATATCTTTTCTCAGTTGTGTAACCATCCGAAAAGGGCTTTTTTCCTACTTAGTAAAAGTCACCTGTAGGAAAAGAGAAAAAATCCCATAAAAAGTATGGATTTTGCAGTTTGAAAGACTTGGTTTCTGTCACTAACTTATGACCTTGAGCAAGTGGCTTAACTTTGTTGAGTTTCAGCCTTTCTGTAAAGCAGGGGTAACACCCACCTTGAGGTAGTTTATGGCACGTGATAGGCACTCAATTAATGTACGTTTGCAATTTATGCTTGGTATTTTCTCTTTGCTTCTTTTTCTTCTAAATTCCTTTTTTTTTTTGAGACAGAGTCTTACCTTGTCACCCTCGATGCAGTGCTGTGGTGTTGCAGCTCACAGCAACCTCAAACTCTTGCTCAAGTGATTCTCTTGCCTCTTGCCTCAGCCTCCCAAGTAGCTGCGACTGCGGACTCAGGCCACAATGCCTGGCTATTTTTAGAAATGGGGGTCTCACTCTTGCTCAGGCTGATCTCAAACCCGACAGCTCAGGCAATCCACTGGCCTTGGCTGGGATTACAGGTGTCAGCCACCACACCCAGCTGGCCCTCCTCTAAATTCTTGATATTCAGTTCAACTAACACTATTGAGTGTTTATTTTGTGCTGAACACTGGTAATACAAAGATGATGAGATATAGCCCTTGCCCTCAGAGACAGTGAGCATGATTACATTTTCATGTAAGCATTTCAGTACTATGCACAAAATAGCAGAGTAAGAACAAGGGATATTAATAAGTCCCAGAGATATTGTTGCCATCTATGTCCCTTACCTCTTCATTTGACACAAAGTGTAGTTCACTGAAGCAGCAGAATAACTGTCCCTAAAGACAGGGTGAATTAGAAACTTTTCTTCCAAAATACTTCTCTCTATCCTATTTAAACACTGGATAAAATGTTCTCATCTAAGAGCTAAGTGGTGACTTGCCATTGATTCAGTGTGGGTGAGTGGGGGTGCTGTAAATCCCTTTTTTCTCTCATGCTGTAATGAGATGTCTTCACTCACTCTTCTTTTTTTCGCAGAGGGAGGACCCAACCCTGAGCTCAACAGCAACCTGGCAAACATTTTAGAGGTGTGTCGCAGCAAGCACATGCCCAAGTCAACAATTGAGGCAGCACTGAAAATGGAGGTGTGTTCTGTTTGACATGCTTTTTATTTATTTATTTTTATTATTTTATTTTATTTTATTTTATTTTTTGAGACAGAGCCTCAAGCTGTCCCCCTGGGTAGAGTGCCGTGGCATCACAGCTCACAGCAACCTCCAATTCCTGGGCTCACGCGAGTCTCTTGCCTCAGTCTCCCAAGTAGCTGGGACCACAGGCCCCTGCCACAATGCCTGGCTATTTTTTGGTTGCAGCCATCATTGTTGTCTGGTGGGCCTGGGCTGGATTTGAACCTGCCACCTTAGGTATATGTGGCTGGTGCCTTAGCCACTTGAGCCACAGGCGCCAAACCTATTTATTTATTTTTATTGTTGGGGATTCATTGAGGGGACAAGAAACCAGGTTACACTGATTGTGACATGCTTTTTATTGGTCACAGCCCCCAACAGGGTTCATGTCTGGGAGCCAAACAACTCCTTAAATTTTCAGAGAGAAGGGTAGCAATTTGGTTGCAGCCCTCAATCCAGAGGCTTCTGGGGGCTCCCTGTTCATGGCCATTGGTTGTAGGAGCATAATTAGGAATAGGATGCACAATGTATGGAACCATACAAGTTCGGGCTGCCTAGCTGAGTTGTGAGATGAGATAGAAAGAAGGGTACAGTGTAGGGGAGGCTCTGAAGTTAGGGTGAGGAAGGGTTTGTTTTTCTTTTTCAGCTGTATATGTCCTAAGAGAGAAAAGCCAGTAGAAAGGGAGAGGATGTGTAATAGTGATAGTGGGAGGAACAGGGATGTAGGGCTCAGGTGAGGGGACACCTTTCCTCTGGGACAAGTAAGAAGGAACTGAGGAAATAATAATTGTCTTAATAGCTAATAGGTATTGAGTGTTTACTGCAGGCCAAACACTTTGATAATAACTCTGCATGAGTTATCTCACTGAATCCTCAAAACAACCTTAAACACTTGAGGCACAGAAAGATTAGGTGACTTGAATAATCACAAAGAAAGTGACAGACTTGAGAGCCTGTGTTCTAACCATTATACAAATGACTGATTGATGGATCAAGGACTAGGCAAATAGACTCCCTTTCAAGTAGGAGTGGTACTTCCAGTACTGCCTTCATCTGAATATTACAGTCATGGTGTAGACGAGGTGGTAGAGATAGAGAATTTTTTCCCCCACCTGGTGGCCCTTTATGTTCTTTGTGAAAGGGGAAGGGAGAAGTCATTGGTTGAGAGTTCCTGGAAGAGTGCAGGGCAAGGTGCTTGGGGAGGGTGATGAAAATCAGAGATAGGGCCAGCAGATGAGAAGAGATGTAGAAGGTCCAGATGAAATTGGTGGATTGCTTGAATCTTGAGACCATGCTATTTTGGGCAACTTTTTGACAAGGCCTAGGTGTGTAATTATTATAGCAGTACTCAGCAACCCAAGTTAGGAGCATTGGAGGGAGTGCCTAGGGGTGAAATGTGGATTATGGGGGCAGGAGAGGAAGCAAAGCTGGGAGATGACTGATTGATGGGTCAATGACTAGGCAAATAGACTCCCTTCTTGGTGGGGCGGGGTGGCTCATGCCTGTAATCCTAGCACTGTGAGAGGCCGAGGTGGGTGGATTGCTTGAGCTCACAAGTTTGAGATCAGCCTGAGCAAAAGTGAGACCCCCATCTCTACTAAAAATAGAAAAACTGAGACAAGGATGAGTTGGAGGTTGTTGTGAGCTATGATGCCACGGTACTCTACAGAGTGACAGCTTGAGACTGTGTCTCAAAAACAAATAAAATAATAGACTCCTTTTCATGAGGTGGTGGTACTTGTAGTACCTCAAAAGTTGGTCCCAAGGGTTTCTTCTCAGAGGGTGGGGACTAAAAGTAAAGACACAAAATTTCAAGATGTAGCCTAGACAGCCCATCCCATAGAATCAGCTTTGTGGTACCTGTGGTTCTGGGCTGACATGTGGGAAAGGATTGGGAAACATGAAAGTGTCCTTGTGTTGTTTATTTTAGAAAACTAAAGACATGTATTTGCTGTATGAGGGTCGAGGCCCTGGCGGCTCTTCTCTGCTCATTGAGGCGTTGTCTAACAGTAGCTCCAAGTGTCAGTCAGACCTTAGACATATCCTGAACAAAAATGGGTAAGTGTGTGTCTAGGAGGGTGTGGAAGGGGACAGGGTCTTTGAGTTCCAATTCTGTGCAAGGCAAGAACTATTGATCCCTGGTGGTATTTCTAGGTTTTTTGGAGGGTGGGGGTAGGCAGGGGCTGGGGATTAGTTTGTTTTTTGCAAAATTTTATTTTATTTTATTTTATTTTTTTGAGACAGAGCCTCAAGCTGTCCCCCTGGGTAGAGTGCCGTGGCATTATAGCTCACAGCAACCTCCAACTCCTGGGCTCAAGCGAGTCTCCTGCCTCAGCCTCCCAAGTAGCTGGGACCACAGGCACCCGCCACAACGCCCAGCCGTTTTTTAGTTGCAGCCGTCACTGTTGTTTGGCGGGTCCGGGCTGGGGATTCGAACCCGCCACCTTAGGTGCACGTGGCTGGCGCCTTAGCCGGTTGAGCCATAGGTGCCGAGCCCAAAATTTTATTTTTTAATTATTATGGCTGCATCATAGTTGTCTTTTCTTTTTTGAGACAGTGTTAGTATGTTCCCCTTGGTAGAGTGCCGTTGAGTCACAGTTCACAGCAACCTCCAACTCTTAGGCTTAACCCATTCTCTTGCCTCAGCCTTCCAAGTAGCTAGGACTACAGGTGCCTGCCACAACGCCTGAATATTTTTTTGTTGTAATTGTCGTTGTTTGGCAGGTCCAGGCTGGGTTTGAACTGGCCAGCTCTGGTGTATGTGGCTGGTGTCCTAGTTGCTGAGCTAAAGGTGCCGAGCTTTTTTTTTTGAGTAGTCTCAAGCTTTACCCTGGGTAGAGTGCTATGGTGTCACAGCTCACAGCAACCTCCAACTCCTGGGCTCAACCGAGTCTCCTGCCTCAGCCTCCCAAGTAGCTGGGACTACAGGCGCCCGCTACAACATCCTGGCCATTTTTTGGTTGCAGCCATCATTGTTGTTTGGCGGGCCCAGGCTGGGGATACGAACCCGCCACCTTAGGTGTATGTGGCTGGCGCCTTAGCCTCTTGAGCCACAGGCCTTGAGCCTCGAATTCCTGGCCTTAAGTAGTCCTCCCACTGTGACTTCCTAAAGTACTGGGATTACAGGCATGAGTCACTGTGCCTAGCTGTGTTTTGGGTTTTAAGCACATTTCTTCCTTAGCAATATCCAATTAGTGAATTGATTTCCCCTTAAAGTGTTCTATACTGTGCAGAATCTGAAGAACTTGTTTGTCAGGTGTAGGAAGGGATCTTTGTCCCATTATCTGATCTTTAGCCACATAATGCCCAGGTCTTAAAATGTTCTTCTGGGACTGGAGTCTCAATGGCACAGGAAATAATGAACATAGTCTTTGCATTCTCCAAACTCCACACAGGGCAGAAAATAGAGGATGGAGTTATTTTTGGACTGTTCCCCTACTCAGCGACAACTGTATCTTCCCTTTGGGAAGAGAGCCACTCCATGTTTGTGTGTACTCCAAGGCTGGGTGGGAAAGACATTATCATTAGACTGCTGTGCCTTCTGGAGGCTGATTGTCTAAAGGCATTCACTCATTCCAGCCCATTTCCTTCCCTGTCAGGGGAGTGATGACTGAAGGAGCTCGTCACTCCTTTGACAAAAAGGGGGTGATTGTGGTTGGAGTGGAGGACAAAGAGAAGAAAACTGTGAACCTAGAGCGTGCCCTAGAGCTGGCAATTGAAGCAGGAGCTGAGGATGTCAAGGAAACCGAAGATGAAGAAGAAAAGAATATTTTCAAAGTAAGTACGAAGACATTGTATTTGGTGGGCTTCTAAGAGGTCCCTAATAGATGCCTGAAGTCATCCTTGTCTTGATTTCTTCCTTCCTGCACCCCAAGATACAGGTGAAACAAAGAGTTGACATAGTGCACAAACATTTATTAAGTGAATACTGAATAGGGCCTACTCTACTGAGTACTACAAGAAAGATTCAAAACATTGAAAATATCAGATGGCGCCTGTAGCTCAGCGGCCACATACAACGAGGCTGGTGGGTTTGAATCTGGCCTGGGCCAGCTAAAATCAACAATGACAACTGTAACAAAAAAATAACTGGACATTTTGGTGGGTGCTACTTGGGAGGCTAAAGCAAGAGAATTGCTTAAGCCCAAGAGTTTGAGGATGCTGTGAGCTGTGATGCTGTGGCACTCTACCCAGGGCAACATAGTGAGACTCTGTCTCAAAAAACAAAACGAAACAAAACAAAAACATTGAAAATATGCACCTGCCAGTGATACATTATGGTAGTTTTTACAGTTAGGACTTTGCAAAGTTCTGTCTGCCTTTGCCTTATTACCTTCTGGCTCCTTAGCTTCTGGTTTTCCTTTATCCCTAGTTTATTTGTGATGTTTCTTCACTGCATCAAGTGAGGAAGAAGCTGGACTCTTTGGGCCTGTGTTCTGTGTCCTGTACACTAGAGTTCATTCCCAACTCAAAGGTGCAGCTGGCTGACCCTGACCTGGAGCAGGCTGCTCATCTCATCCAGCTTCTCAGCAACCATGAGGATGTGATCCACGTCTATGACAACATTGAGTAACAAGGTCAAGTGTTCCTGTAGCTTCCTCCTAGGCAAGTGGCAGCCCATTCCAGATCACAGGCTTCTGCAGCCATCTCTGAGAGTAAAGCAGAAGGGGCTTGCCTGGCAGGACAGGAGGCCTAAGGCTAAGACTTGCATTCTTGAGGCCAAGGGAACCCCATACTTCCATGGGACCCCTTTGTCAGCTCTGCTGGTGTCTGATAGCCCTTCTGGATGAGTCTCCTAACACTTTTCTGAATGTAAAGTATAGCCACCTACCTGGTCAGAATGTGGTCTCAAGGTATTTGGCCCTTGTGGACACTGTAAGTGCCATGAGGCCCTTTGTGCTAGAAACTGCTCTTAAATAACAACAGTGATTGATTTGGGTTGCTGCATTGCTATTATGTGGCTCTTGGGTTTTCCTGAGTTTTTGTCCAATTGTTGAGACCCTCTGGACTAACTTTCAAGTCCCTAGGCCCTAGTGAACTACTCTAATCCCAGGACCTTTGTTTAATTTTTTTTTTTTTTTTTTTTTTTTGGAGACAGTCTCAAGCTGTCGCCCTGGGTAGAGTACAGTGGCATCACAGTTCACAGCAACCTCAAACTTTTGGGTTTACACTGTTCTCTTGCCTCAGCCTCCCAAGTAGCTGGGACTACAGGTGCCTTCCACAACGCCCAGCTATTTTTTGATTACAGTTGTCATTGTTGGGCTGGGTTCAAACTTGCCACCCTAGGTGTATGTGGCCAGCACCCTGCTGACTGGGCTACAGGTGCCACCCTGTGTAATTTTTTGATGGCTATAGAAATGTAGCTGTATTTAGGTACTCTTTGGTCTCTTTGTGTGACCTCTGTACCCTTCCACCGGAGGCCTTAAGGCTCTAGCCCAGGAGGAAATCAAGTGCCAGTGATAAGGGACTCCCCAGACCCTGCTTTGCCTAGGCCCCTGTTTGTTCTGAGATTGGACTAATGAGCAGATTGGGCTGCTCTCAGAAAAAACTTCACCAGGCTAGTTCTTAGAATGTTCAACCCTGGCTCCTTTTTATCCCCAATGCCAAATGGTGGGGCACTGGGAAATAGAGAGGAAATAGAACAGAAGGAAGACTAAAGAGCTCAGTCAGAAGTCTGCCCAGGTGGGAGATTAGGGGTGTTGGTAGCTTTTGTTCCTAATAGTCACTTCTGGGTTTAGAGAGGCCAAGAGTGCCAATGCCCTGAGCTAGAGCCTGTCAAGAATGTCAGGCCTGGAATAGTATTTTGATCCCTGTTATCGACCTCCTTACAAGTTGTTTAAGCCTGTCCAGAGTTCAGAGTAATTTTCCTAATGGAACCTCAGGTAACTAAGGATAGAAATGAACTAAAACCAGATTGACTATAAATGATAACTTTACCTTCTAGGAAAAACAGATTACTAGTTGCACAGTGACTTCAGTAGCTGGAGAGCAAGGGCTACAAGGGAAGAAACCAATGAAATAATCCATGATCGGCTTGGCTCCTGTAGCTCAGGGGCTAGGGCTCCAGCCACATACACCGGAGCTGGCAGTTTCGAATCCAGCCCCAGCCTGCCAAACAATGACAACTACAACCAAAAAATACCTGTGCGTTGTGACAGGTGCCTGTAGTCCCAGCTACTTGGGAGACTGAGGCAAGAGAATCATGTAAGCCCAAGAGTTTGGAGTTGCTGTGAGCTGTGACATCACAGCACTCTATCCAGGGCCACAGCTTGAGACTCTGTCTCAAAAAAAAAGAAAGAATCTACGATTATGCCATAGCATATGCCCTTACACTTAATACTACCTGGGACTATGTAGTGTTTATAGGAGATAATTTGTCCAAATATTTGAATAGCTCATTATTATAAAAGGATAATTTTTTAAAAAGGCAACTTAAAATTTATATTCTGTTTCATAATGAATTAAATAATTCCATATGTTTTTGATTTTCCCAGCAAACCTATAAAATTGTCCAAGTATATTATGCACAGATGATCTTATACAAAGCAGATGAAAACAGGTCTAATACCAAATCTTGCATTGATAGGCCTTGGTTTATAAAATAGTTCTATTTTGGAAATGGTGAATACAAATTAGAGGAATCTGAGCATTTTCTAATCTGAGAAATCTCTACCAAGAGTGCCTGCTGTTGAAAGGGATTTGGCCACTCACGTGAATGGGCCCCCTGTAATCAATAGAATTTATTAATCTGGATTATTGCATAACCACTTATATCAAGGCATGTTGCAGTTGTTATAACAACTTCTGTGAAGATGGCTCTGCAATGACCCCTGGAAGTACTATGCATTTAATAGACAAAGGTTGAAATGAACCCCTACTTGAACCTGTTTTCTGTTGCTAGATCTAAAAAAGAGACTGGGAGCTAGTTTTAAAAAAAGGAGATGAAAAAAGTAGGGTCACACCCATATGATGAGATACTATGCTGTCATTAAAAATTACTTTTCAAGCTTGGCACCTGTAGCTCAGTGGCTAGGGTGCCAGCCACATACACCAGAGCTTGCTGGTTCAAACTCAGCCCGGGCCTGCCAAACAACAATCAACTATAGCCAAAAACTAGCTGGGCATTGTGGCAGGTGCCTGTATTCCCAGCTACTGGGGTGGCTGAGGCAAGAGAATTGCTTAAGCCCAAGAGTTTGAGGTTGCTGTGAGCTGTGAAGCCACAGCACTCTACTGAGGGTGACATAGTGAGACTGTGTCTAGAAAAAAAAAATTACTTTTCAAAGAAAGTTTTGTCAAAGAAAGTGTTTATGATATAATAGTGGGGAAAAAGATATAAAACAATATAATATGGCCCACATTTTCAAGCGTATATGTGTGTATGTATATATGTGCGTCTTTTGTAAAAAATTCATATATACAGTGTGATACATATATCATATATATATATATCACTGTATATATGAATTTTTTACAAAAAGACTAGAAGGAAATGTACCAAAATATCAAAACTCTTTATCTCAGAGTGGTGATGTTATTACTGAGTTTTATTTTCTATATTCATGTATTATTTTTATCAGGGGAAATTTTTTCAAAAAAGCCAAAACCAGTCATGTTATTGGTTCTCTAGGGAAACAGCATCCAAGAGTCTCAGAGTTGGGTACACCTCACCTTAAAACCAAAAGAATGGGATCTGGTATAGGCTTCTTTGCCTTCTTTTTGGTCATTGTCTTTGCAACACAAAATCAAGGCCTTCAGGCCAGCTTGGGCATACTTTGAGGTGTCCTTTGCTGAGCTGAAAGTATCTATGACAAAAAAAAAAAAAAAAAAAAAAGAAAGTATCTGTGACAGACTCTATCCACAGCCTTGACTCTTTTTTTTTTTTTGACAGAGTCTTACTATGTTGACCTTGGTAAAGTGCTGTGGCGTCACAGCTCACAGCAACCTCAAACTCTTGGGCTCAAGTGATTCTCTTGCCTCAGCCTCCTGAGTAGCTGGGACTATAGATGCCCACCACAATGCTCAGCTATTTTTTGGTTGCAGTTGTCAGTGTTTAGCAGTCCCAGGGCTGGGCTTGAACCTGCCACCTTGGGTGTATGTGGCTGGGTGCCCTACTCACTAAGCTACAGGCGCAGAGCCAACACAGCCTTGACTCTTATAAGAAGCACTCGTGTAGTGACTTCCCCTCTGTGAAAGGCCCTGGCTGAATCAGAGGAACAGTGAAGCCTCTGCCTCCCATCAACTGTGGAAATTCAAACATGTGGTTGAGTTACTGTTTTTTCTCTGAAACTTATAGCATAGCAGTCAATAGAGCTTTAAATACTAAGCGCCCCCAACACCCAGACTGTTTTTTGAATCCCTGCACACTCCCCTGGAAACACGCTATGAAGAGAAAACAAAATAGTAAGTCTGGCAGACCGGCAATGGTGGCTCATGCCTATAATCCTAGCACCCTGGGAAGCCGAGGCAGGTGGATTGCCTGAGCTCAGGAGTTGGAGACCAGTGTGAGCAAAGTGAGACAAATAGGAAAACAACAAACAAACAAACAAACAAACTAGCCAGGTTATTGTAGCCAGCACCTGTAGTCCCAGCTATTTGGGAGGCTGAGGCAAGAGAATCACTTGAGCCCAAGAGTTTGAGGTTGCTGTGAGCTATGATGCCAGGACACTCAACCTTAGGGCAAATGAGTGAAACCCTTGCCCGCCTCCCCCCCAAATAGTAAGTCTGGCACAAAGAGAATGCTGTGATGGATACCGTACTACTCTTAACTGAAATAATTTTCTCTCTTTATTGTTAATTCCATGCCCATCCATTGAACGGGATAACAGTTTTTACTTTTTTTCTTTTTTTTAATCTTTTGTGTATGACAAAAAAGGTAACATTTGTTGTTTTTAAAAAGTCAAACCTTACAGAGATATTTAAAAAAAAAAATAGAAGTTGCATCGAATACTACCTACTAAGATACAACCATCATTAACAATCTGTATTATTCTACTCTTTGGAGCAAGTCTGTTGAGGAATAAATTATGGTTCTTCCATTTGCTAGCAACCTCAAGTAAGGACTTAACCTCTAGGCCAGGCATGGTGGCTCACTCCTGTAATCCTAGCACTCAGGGAGGCTGAGGCGGGTTTTGCCTGAGCTTATGGCTTCCAGACAGCCAGAGATAGAGCAAGACCTCATCTCTAAAAATAGCTGGGGGTTGTGGCTGGCACCTGTAGTATCAGCTACTCTGGAAGCTGAGGCAAGAGAACTTCAGCCTGAGAGTTTGAGGTTGCTGTGAGCAGTGATGCCATGGCACTCTCCCAAGGGCAACAAAGTAAGACTCTGTCTCAAAAAAAGAAAAAAAAAAGTAGAACTTAGCCTCTTTGCACCTGTTTCTTCACCTGTAAAGTAGGGGTAATAATAATACCTATTTCATAGAGCTACTTTGAAAATTAAATTAAGTTAATACAGTAGAATCTCCTTAAGTTGACCTGATTTATTATTTTTTTTGAGGCACCCACCACAACTCCCGGCTATTTTTGTTGTTGTTGTTGCAGTTGCCATTGCTGTTTTAGTGGGCCGGGGCTGGGTTCGAACCTGCCACCCTCAGTATAGGGGCTGGCGCCCTACCCACTGAGCCACAGGTGCCGCCAAGTTGACCTAATTTTCATAGACTGGATATGCACCACCACAAGTATGTATCATTACAGTAGGCCTAGTTTCTTATGTTGACCATATACATATGCTGACCATTTGTTGTAGTCCCTTGGAGACTTAGAGAGGTTCTACTATATATATTAAGCACTTAAAGCAGTGCCTGGCAATGGTAAATGTTCAATGAATGCTGGCCTTTTTCTCACTAAGTATAAATGAACATTTTTAAAAGCTGATATGTGATTACCCCTATATACTTCATAGGGTGATCTATAAACTGTTTTTATTTTGTTTCCCACTTGATACC